GCTGGGGTGGTTTCTTGGGGGCCCCCTTACACTTCAGCACCAGTGGCTCACCGATCCGGGCTGTGACGTTTTGAGCACCTACTACTGCTCCTGGGAGACAGCACCATGGTAGAGGGGCAGGAAGGGAGATAAGGGCTAATGAACTTTGGACAAGGTGGGTGAGGGACCTTGAAAAGCAGTTCCTCAGGTTCTGGGAAAAGTTCTAGGGCAATTGGGGCATGGAGTTAAAGTGCTTTCTGCAGGGAGGGTCAGTGGGATGGGGGGAGTGGCTCACCCCACAGACTGAGGACCAGCACCCAGGCTCCAACTGCTGCTCCTGCTGCCATCCTGCTTCTTTCCAGGCTCCTGGCTCTGTCTGCCCCTCTGCCTGCTGTGGCCACCGCCCTAGGTGGGGCCTACACCCTCTCTCCAGCCCCCATCTTTCAGTCTTGTCACAGGGAATGCTAGGAATTCATGCCTTTGGGACAAGAGTCCTTCAGGTACTCCAGAAATAATTATCACCCCACCCCTGGGCACTACCAGCCTCTGGGCACAGCCACTTTCCTGGGGGATGGGAAGTGTACCCTCTAGGCTCTCATTCCCTCAGAGCCCCCCATCATATTTATTCCATCAGTCCCTCAGGGCCGCCTGGTGACGCACTGAAGCCCCATCTTGGCTGGGCAAGGTTGCATCAATAGGGTTCAGGCCTGGCTGTTGTTTGCAAGGGTGCAATGGGGCCTGCATAGTGAAGGCAAGGCTGGGGGATGGGGAGAAACCTGTTTGGAGCTTTATGAAGGAAAGTCATTTTTTTTCTGGGGTTTCTCATTTTTTTGAAAAAAAATTCTCAACTAAACCCAGGGAAAAAAGAAATTTCTTTATTTAAAACTGCATTTTGTTTTTTTCTGTGAAACTACACAAGTTTACAAGTGAGGAGAGAACTGCCCCCGGCCCATGCCTCCCACCCCCCACCCATCACACTTCCAACCTGTCCCCAGTCCTGCCCGGATCTTTAATAGGAGGGGTGCCCCACTCTTGACAGTCTTGTAAAATCCTGAGAATGTCTGAGGGGATCAGATGGTAGGGTTCAGGGCTGAGGATGAGACAGTGTTGATTTTACTTTCCCCCACACCTGGCTTTCTGCAACCTCCTCCCTCTCCCTACCCCTTGATTTTGGTGTGACAAAAAGATACCTCATTTCTGGGGAAATTGAGGAAGATACATACACAAGCACCCAAACCATATTTAACATATTTGGCAATAACTCCCTTTCCATTCTTCCCCTTCCAATCTTCAAATAGTCGTTTTTTTAAAAATTAAAGACATGTCACTCACAGGGGAAGATTGCATCTTCAATTTCCTCAAAATTATTGAGTCCAGCCCCGCCCAAGGGTTGTGGGAAGAAGCGGGATGGGAGGCCACCAGGCAAGTCCTTTACTGCCTCCACACCAAATGTGGCAGAAACCTGCCTGTGTGAGCAAAAAACACCTAAGTGATTTTAGGGGGCAAAGCTTGGTGCCCTGTAAAATTTACTTCCTGATGGACAGGCCGGGAGCCAGGGGGCCTCTTGACCAGTTCTGTTTGTCCCCCTTTCTCTTACCAGGACCCCTTTGGCTATCACCCCTAATATGGGAAAGCAAGATATAAAAAAAGACAATAAATCAACATATTTATAAAAAAAAAAAAAAAAAAAAAAACTACTTCCCCAAACTAAATTAAAAATTAAGAACCACCACCACCACCACCATCAACAAAAAACAACAGCAACAACAACAACAAAAAAAACCAGATGGATCCCAGGGTTTCTTTTTCTTTCTTTTAAAAAAAAAAGTTCAACCCCAAAGCCCAGTCAATAATTCCCTAAAGTAGCAGAAACTCCCTCCGAGGTAGATATCTGAGTCAGACACTCTCGTCCACCGAGCGATTCTATTGGTTTAAGATGAGCTGCGTATGAGGTAAGTAAGCCGTCTGGAGGGGTGGGGGTGGGGATACACGGGGGCGTGGCCCATGTCCTCTGTCCAGAAGTCATGTCCCCATTTTTGGCATCTCTGGTTGGGCAGGGCTGGCGTCTCCACGGATTCCAGAGTATATAAGTGGGGTGGGGAAGGGAAAGTGGGGGAGCCCAGAGAGAAACAGAATAGTTGCAAGTGGGAGTATGTGTGTGGCTGAGGTGTGGGGGAAGAGAGAGAGAGAGAGGAGAAAAAGGGGTCTGAGAAATAGGTTTCTGGGTATGTGTGTGTTTCTGTGTAGTAAAGAAAGGGGGAGAGGTAAAAGATGGAAAAAAAGGGGAGACAGACCCCACACTCCCCTTAGGGGTCCCATTCTTCCTGCCATGTAATTAGCACCCCCAGCACAGAGTCTAGTTAGGGAGGGGATGACCCCATTGGCCCTCCTCTGTCTTGTGCTTGTTCTGTATTTGGGGTTTGTCCTCTGGATGCCTGCGTCCTCTTCAAGAGTCGCCTTGTGAGAGCCCCCACCCCTATGACCCTGAGGGGCATGATCAAGATCAGTTGGAGGTGTCAGAGTGAACACTCCCTGGTCCCTCTGTTGCAGATGTCACTGAAGAGGGGGTCACAGCCTCCTGCCAGCTGCCATTTGCCTGGAAGAAGGGAGAGACGGAGTATAGAAAACAGACAAGGCCTTGGGGAACCCTGTGTGGGCATACTACTAGGGAAAATGCCCCTCTGTCCTGCGAGAACTGGACAGAGAGGGGCTTCAGGATCCACTCACCCTCATTTCCCGAGGGCTGTACATCTGGCCTCCCCCGAGGTTATCCCCATAGCCCCCCGGCCCCATCGAGTGTCGGAGTGATTCCACCTGCAGGGAGCAGAGAAAGGTATGACAGTGAAGAGACGCCTCAGAGGATAGAGGTCTTATATCCAAAAGTAGGGAAAATGGAATTGGGGAAAGTCCTACTCAAGAGGAGATGGGCGTCTGACCTGGGAAGCAGAATAGGAATCTCCGTTGAGCCCAGGCATCCCCAGAAACATGTCTCCAGATCCTGAGAGATTGAAAGAGCCGCCAGAGCCTTGGGAGAACAAAGAGGGAAGAGTGTAACAGAGCCGGTGATGGTAGAAAGGGGATGACCCACAACTCTCAGTTACCAGAAAGCCCTCATACTAGCCCTGTGGGGACATGCTACTATACTCCAGTTATCCACAAAGCAACATTCCAACACACAGAAAGAGCAGGCTGTTCCTTGGCCTCCCGGGGGAAGAAAAGCAGAACAAACTTCACAGAGTGGCCTCTGCCCCCCGACATCTCCAGCCTGTCTCAGCTTGGTCCCTCTCACCCAAAAGGCCCCCTCTCAGCTATCATCTTGCCTAGACAGGAAGTGGGAACAAACACAGGAAATGTGCATAGCAGTCAGCCAGGGTAACAGTGGGATCCACCTGCAGAGGAAGGGGGTGTCGGGGAGCTGGTACGGCTGTGGCCCCCCTGAGTAACTGACACGGCGGTCTTGACAGCATAGATGTTTGCTTCCTCTTGGAACTTTCCGATGTTTTTCTTATATCGAATCCTCTTGTTGCCAAACCAGTTGGAGACCTGTGGGGCAGAAAGGAGGGTCAGGTAGAAACCTTTGCCTCTGAAGTCCTTTACTGGGTAAGATGTGAGTGAGAGCATTTTTTTTTCTTCCTGGTCTCACTATGTTGTTGCCCAGGCTGGTCTCCAACTCAAGTGATCCTCCCACTTCAGCCTCCCTACTAGCTGCGATTACAGGAACACACCACTGCACCTGGCTGAGATGAGTGCATTTTGCCTGAAAACTCCTCCCCAAGTCCCCATAATACCTGAGAGACAGTGATGCCACACTTCTTGGCAAGCTCCTCCTTGGCCTCCTCACTGGGATATGGGTTACTCAGGTGTGAGTAGAAATACTCATTTAGGACCTCAGTGGCCTGTTTGCTGAAGTTACGGCGCTTTCGTCTACAGAGGAGGGAGAAGAGCTGTGAGGAGGACATTGGCGTCCTGGCAGTGCTGCTGCATGGCATGACCCCAGAGTCACCATTGTCATGGAGTACCATGTTGTGCAGCATGGCAGCTCAGGGTCTTGGAGAGGAATGGGAAGGAGACCAGTGCTGGGTGCCAGCCTGGGTCCCTGCACTCACCTAGCATCCAGGAAACGGGAACGCAGGATCATCACAGCCTCGCAGGTGCTCTGCTTGAGCTGCATCTGGATGGCGCTGAACTTTCGATGGATGATGCTCACCATGCGTTCCATCTCTTTAGGGGCCACGGGCCTGGTGCGGCTCTGCTCCCTCAGCAGGTTCATGACATGGGTCGTGAACTCATTACATGCCTGTAGTGGTGGCCCGTGGGCTGGTGAGTAGGTGCCCCTTGGGCATGGGATCCCCTGCAAGAGCCCTTCCCTCCACCCACCCTAGCCTGCTCTCCTCACCTGCTCATACTTCTCCAGCTCCGAGTGGTATATGTGACGGATCTGGGCAAGTTTGCTGCGATAGTCCGAGTGTTCGATGGAGTTGTCAGGGGATACGCCACCCCCAGAGGCTGCAGCGGCTGCAGCTGCTGCTGCTGAGCCACCCCCTTTCTCGGGCCCAGCCACACCCTCTGCCAGAAGCATGTTGTCCAAGCGCATCAGCTGTGGGTCCACCGGCTCCTCCTCCTGGGAGCTTCGAATGCTGAGGCCTAGCATGCAGGCAGTGGACTTAGGGACCCAGGGACCCCACACTCAGTGCTTAGTCCTCCTGGTGCCTCCTGGAGAGCCAAGTTCCCAGGCTTTGGCTCCTTCCCAGTCCCCCTGACTCCTCACTTTCCTCAGGGTCCCAAGTTGCCACACTCTAGCCCTATAGTGAACAGGGTTCTGTCCCCAGAGTTGAGCAATCGGGGGGACCCACATACCGGTTTTCTCCTTGATTTCACACAGGACGCTAAAGAGAGCAGGCTTCATTCGGTGGCAGTTTAGGGCGTGTTTCCTTGGGAGGAGTGGGAGTGGGGAAAGAGAAAAGTTGAGGAGCCAGAGAAACAGAGCAGGGGGCCTGAGAACAAGCAGGGAGGAGGGTCAGTCTGTGGAGGAAGCGGATTGGGGGTGGAATGGCTTTGGGGAGGGGAGTTCTTGGGAAAAGATCAGCTCCCAGAGCGGGGGAGGCTGCTCGGCTTCAGGGAGGCACAGGGAAGATGCAGCCGCAGGCTAAAGGTACCACTGGTAGGCTGGGGGCTTTGGGAGATGGTTAGAAAGGTAGGCGGAAATTTGTGGGAGTAAATGGGGAAAGGAAGGTGACCTGGTAGGTTTCAGAGGTAGAGAGACAGGCTGGGGTTGAGAAGAGTCAGAGTTTGAGGTGGCAGAGTGGGGCTGGGGCTGCCGAGCTGACTGGGGAGATCCTGTGTGTGAAGGGGTCCTGGGGCTGAGCAGGTGGGGGGCTTTGATGCACCTAGTGTCTGGCTGAGCCGTAGAGAGGAGCTTTAGGGGCTCTGGAGAGGGGTGTGGAGGTCTCTACATCTGGAGAGAATGAAGGGGCTGGGTGGAGAGTTAGGGGAGAAGATAACATAGCCCAAGAACAGTTTCTTAGTCTGGGAGCCAGAGGGGGCTCCGGAGATGGGGCTGTTCCAGGGGAGTCTGGGGGTCAGCAAAAGGTTAGGAGGGGGAGCGGGGCCACCTGGGGTTCCCTCTGTGAAGGTTTCAGGGCCTGGGGGTGAAGGGAGGTTTGAGAGGGATCACTTTTCTAGGGGCTCCCAGGAGTAAAGAGAGAAGAGAGCTGTTGGATCCTGAAGAGGGCCCTGGAGTTGGGGGGCTCCCAGAAGATTCAGAGCATGTGAACGGGGTTTGCTGGGTCTGTGTGGGGTCCCGGGGTGGGGGCACTCACTTGGCCTGGGCCTCGTCCAGGCTCTGGTCGGTGATGGTCATTATCTGCTGCAGAATGTCCCCGATGTCTTGCTTCCCTCGGCCTCCCGGGACCCCCCCGCTACCCCCACCGGGGTCTCCGCCACCGGGAGGCTCGCCAGGGCCCCCAGGCTCCCCACCCACCAATCCCAGGCCCCCCCGGCCCCCACCTGGAGGGGGTGGCCCCAGTAGCCTCTCGTCCATAGCTGGGGGGGGGCCTTGAGGCCCCCTCCCTGCTCTGTCCCAACCCCCGCCTGGTTACTCCCCCCCAAACTCGCTGGGGCCTCTGCTCCCTCCGCCCCAACCCCCGCCCGTCTGCCCCCGGCTCCCGGCTCCCCCGGGGGTTCACCCCGGCACTGAAGGGAGACCTGGGGTACCGGCTGGGCCCCCCACAGGAGACCCCGGCCCCCGGCGGCGGAGAAAATGGAGCCGGAGAGAGAGAGAGGAGGCCCAAGCGGGGGTGTGTGTGAGAGAGAGGGAGGAGGGAGGAGGGAGAAGGGGGGGGAGCGAGGGAGGGAGGCTGGGGGAGGGGAGCCGGGGAGGAAGAGGAGGGGAGAAGAGAGGAGGAACAGGGAGGAGCTGGGGGCGGAGAGAGAGAGACAGAAACAGAGGAACTGAGACCGAGTGGAGGAGGGGAGAGGGAAGAGGGGACGAGGGGAGGAGACGGGCCATGTGAAAAACATGGGAAGGCCCCCTGGCTGGACTTCGCCGCCTAGGAGTGGGGGCGTGGTGGCGGCTGGGGTGGGGTCTGCCACCAGGGTTCTGAATCAGGGATCTAGGTGATGTGGACTCAGGCCGCTGGAATGCCTGGGTTCACAGACAGCTCAGTTCAGATTTCTTGTTCTAATGATTCCCCTCCCTGTTCTACTTAATTAAAACCAGGAGAGGGGGGCTGGGGGAGATAATTAGGGAGGTCTCCAGCCGCTGCTTAATGAGCCAGTAATTAACCAGCCAGGGAGGGGAGCTGGCCTCTGGCCAGACTGGGGAGAGAGGCGGCCTCTGGCCTCACCTTTCTACCCTTCACCCTGCCCGGGCCCCCCAGACACCAGTCTTCAGTCTAGAGGGGAATTACATTTATTCACGCAATCAAAACATCAGACAGACTCAGAGCAGCAGTGGGGAGGGAGGGTGGGCAGGGCTAAAGGTCCATTCACAGCCTGTAAACCCCTCAGTCTCAGGGATGGGGGCTGCTGGTGGTGGGACTAGGAGAACAGTCTTAATAGGCTTCATCTCTCAGGTGCCCATCTACCTTCCATTCTTACTAGGGGGGAGGATGAAGCTGTCTCTCAGGTTATAACCTCTTAGGTGGAGGCCTGAGCCCTCAGACCTTGCCTAGTAGCTTGACAAATAGGTGGTGTCCCCACAAGTCAGGGAAGACTCCCAGCCACTCCTTGAGATGGGTGCCTGGGATTCCCGCTTCCTGTCTCAAGCCCCCAAGGACTTGGGGAGGGAGTTAAATCACCATTTCACCTTGCCTGTTCCCAGAGTTTGAGGACTTTCACCCAGTCCAGTTCCCAGGGAAGGTAATGTGGGCGATGAATATTGAGATTTGTGCTGGGTCTTTCAGCCTGTGGTACCCCTGCCACGTAAGAGTTAAGGGCATGCAATGGTCTGCCCAGCTTTGAGCCCAGGGGTGAGGAAGGGCTGGTTGGGACTCAAGTCTCAGCAAGTGTGTGTTGGGGGCTGGGACCTTTGTTCCTCCATTCGACCCCCACCCTGAACTCTCAGCAGCAACTCCAGGAGCTCCTGCCCCCCTGGGGGGAGGGGAGGCTCTGACCGCTGGGCTTCCATCCGTTGGCACTGGAGGAGTGGAGGGAGAAGGGAGAGCTTTGGTGAGGGTCTGAGGGGAGGAAACCCTTGGGAACCCGGGTTGACATAGGGAGGCATATAGGAAATTTCCCGTGAAGGTGATGTGGCAGGTGCCTAGGGAGAAGCAGAAGTAGAGCCCAAAAGACAACAGGGGCCAAGAGACCAGGAGGCCTGGGTTTGCCTCCTGGGGGGATGCCTTACCTGGTGACTGAGGATGGTGCTGTAGAGCTGTTCTCTGTCCTCAATAGGACGGGGTGGGGCAGAGGCTAGGATTGGGGGGTTTTGGGGGGCGTGGAAGGTGGCCCTCTGCTCCTCTAGGCGGCGGGACTGGGCTTCAGCTACCAGGTCCAGAAGGAGCTCAGTCTGCAGGGAGAGCAGGGAGGCCGAGCGGGGTCCCAGGGCTGGGGAGAGGCGGGTGGAGGGCTCAGAGACCCAGAGAGGTTGGCAGACAGGAGCCGTGGGGGAGTGTGGATAGGGTGACATGATTAGGGACTTTGGATCAGAGGAGAGGGGGTGCAATGGGGAATCCCAGAGGGAGTCCAGAGGAGGTCGGGAGAGGGCCCACAACGGAGTGGACCTTGGTAATAGGGTCAGGATGTGGGCACCAGGGTCGGGGCTCTCTCTGGGTAGGTGGGGGTACCTGTGTTATGGGTCCGTGGAGGAGGAGGGGATGGAGGAGCAGATCGCCAAGGCCGAGTGGTGGAATTTGGAGGGGGCCAGCCTTGCTCATCCTGAGGGGGTTCCTGATGCCAAAATATGTCCATTCTAGTCAAGCAGTGGTGGTTGAAGCAGGTGGAGTGGACAGGGGGCTAGGCCAGTGGCCCGTTTCCTTTCTGTGTGTCTCTGTTCCTGCCTCAGTTTGCCCAAGCCTTTCAAGGCCCCTACATCTCTGCCCCAGGTCCTCTCACCTCCCTTCTTTCCCAGTGTTAGCCCTCCCCACCCTGTGCCCAGCTCACCTGTTCACCATCCTCTTCTTCCTGTGGTCTCTCAGCCTCCATTCCCTGGAGGGGAGAAACTGGTGGGGGAGGGGTGGCTGGGATTTGGGCGAAGGGCTGGAACCTTGAGTTCCTGAGTGGAGTGGGGGCTGGAAGGGGTGGGGGTGAGCTGGGGGCTGGATGCCTGGGTACTGAGCAGGAAGCTGGGTTCCTGGTCAGCCCCCCAACGGGCCCCGCCCATCCCTGTCAACTTCCTCCATTCTCTTTTCCCACCCAAACAGCTTGTTCAGTCTCTCTCGCCCCAGGGGAGCACAAAGACTGGGAAAAACTCTTCCAGCTGCAGGAGTGGAGGGGGCTCATGGTGGGGAAGACTCCTGGCCATCTCATCTCCAGATCCTCAGTAGCCCCCTAATCCCTGGCTCTGCTCCCTCCACCCTACCTCCTCTTCTGTTCTTTCTGTCAACACAGGAACTAGCTACACAGGAAGTGGTTTCACTCCTCAGAATCCCCCTCCCCCCAACCAGGTCCCTTCCCTCCCTAAGATAGACCCTGGTATCGGATTTGGCCCTCCTGGTCTTTTTTCTTACTTACTGGGACTGGGAGGGGCATGGTTGCAGTGGGAAGTAGAGGATTCAGACCCAGGGATGTGGAGGTCTCAAATATGTACATATAACCCGAGCACTGGGTCCAACACATAGTAAGTATCCAATATATATGTATTGAATCATCATCCCTGACCTCTAGTTGTTTGCAGTCTATTCAGGAGACGGCTGGGCGAAGTGGCTCACGCCTATAATCCTAGCACTTTGGGAGGCTGAGACGGGTGGGCAGGCGGGCGGATTGCCCAAGCTCGGGAGTTTGAGACCAGCTTGGGCAACACAGTGAAACCCTGTTTGTACTAAAATAAAAAAATTAGCTGGGCATGGCAGCCTGTGCCTGTAATCCCAGCTACTCGGGAGGTTGAGGCAGGAGAATTGCTTGAACCTGGGAGGCAGAGGTTACAGTGGCGAGATCGCGCCACTGCACTCTAGCCTGTGTGACAGAGCAAGACTCCATCTCAAAAAAAAAAAAATAAATAAAAATAAAATACAGTCTATTCAGGAGACAAGATGTGCACCAAATGTGAGAGTACAGGGCAGGGTTCATTTTGGAAACTTGGGAGTTTAGTGCAGACAAGGGGCAGGGGAAGGCTTTATGTTGGTCACAGATAAGAGCTATAGATACGGAAAAACCAGAGGCTGAGGTGGGAAGATTGCTAGAGCCTAGGAAGTTGTGGCTGCAGTAAGCTGTTTGTGTCACTGCACTATAGCCTGGGCAACAGACAAGACCCTGTTTCAGAAAAAGAAAGAAATGAAATGGAAAAGGGAGAGGACCACTTCTCTGGCTTGGTCATTGATCAATGCTAATCAGACTGGTTGGCATCAAGGAGGGTGCAGGACAGACAACCATTTGGCATGTCTAAATGGAAACCTGTCATGTTAGGAAGTTTATAGCTGACTGATTTAGAACATGAACTGTGATGAAGAGATATTGGCTGGGTGTGGTGGCTCACGCCTGTAATCCTAGCACTTT